AAGCGGCAAGCATGAAGAGAAGGGTAAGGAGGCTCCACTTGCTGCTGCCCCCCAGTGGTCCCATTTTGTGTCCAGGCCAGGGCCTTGGATCTTAGGAAGGAATGGGACGCTCGACCCGGGCCACCTATTAAGTCAGGAGAAAAAATAGATTATAAAAATCTAGATTTACTTCGTCGATTTTTAAGTGAACAAGGAAAAATTCTTTCAAAGAGAGTGTTGGGAAACTTCAAAAATACTCAGTAGCTACTCCACAAACTCCAAAATTTTCAATATTCTCTGTATAATTTCACGAGGGACGCTGGGCCCGGTTCCAAGCACGTGGTGCTCCCCACAAATAGATCGGAGCCCTGTTTAAAAAAAAAAAAAGAGAAAAAAAGAAAAAGAAAAACATAAGGCCAGCATCAGCAGGCACGGAAGCGGTGATGCAGTCTTGTGTGGTGAAGGAACAAGTGAGGCTGAGAGGCAGAGAAGTATAGTCCATGGTGTCAGGCAGCATAGCTCATAACAATGAGTGAGGAAGAGTGAGGGAAGACATTCAGAGAGAGTGTGATACCTGCGGGTGTAGAGTAGTGTGTGTGTGTTTGTGTGTGTGGTTGTGTGTGTGTGTGTGTGTGTGTGTAGAAGTGCGACATGCAACCATAGCAACCCGATTACGGGAATGTCTGTTAGCCATAGACTAAACCATTGAGCATCGTGCATATGATGGATCCATACCTTGACATCAAGTCCCGCAAGCCTCATTCCTTGGAGAAACAGTAACAGGCAGTGTAGGCGCCATGAGAAGGGTGGGAGAGAGGGTAGAGCAATTGGTGGAGTAGGAGGTCGAGAGAAAGAGGAGGCACGAGGAGGAGGGAGCATGATGGTCAATGCCATCAACACCAGTACAATGCTGGTGGAGGAGGGGTGGCGCATCCCCTAAAGCGCTTTTTGTCGCTTGCGCCGGTCACGGCTCATCAGAGGGTGGTTGTCCTCTGGCTCCCAAGTGGTGTGGTGAGGGCAGGGGTCATGGTGGAGCGAAGTAGAGTTGAGCTCAGTGGCTTATCTTACCCTGTGTTCCATGATGTCAGCGTCGGGGAGGTTGTCCCTGATCTGCGTCATCGAAGAAGGACCTTGAGGTTGCCGCTCGTAATCGCAGTAGTGAATCACCAGGGGGTCGATCTGCGCTGCCGATTACAGAACACCCGTTTGCCACAGATGGTGCGAGAAGCACTGGCTATGGCGTCTGCGGGCATAGCGCAACAGCCTGCATCACCCAGCGGGCTAAGGTGGGTAGTGTACCACGCAAATGCGCCGCTTCCGAGAGAAGAGAGATTGTAGGGGTGAGTGAGAGATAGGCGTTGTGGAAGTGGGGGAGAGAAAGCAAATACATATATATGGATGGGTAGTGTGTGGTGGGGGCTGTAGTGTCTGCATAGCCGCATGCATGGGATCGAGCTGGAGTGTCTCCGGCTCTGAGGATCCCCACGAGGCTGTGGGGGAGAGGGGGGTGGGAGTAGGGAATAGTTGGGGTAGTCGGACCGGGGGTGTGTTGTTCGTTTGGCAAGATTTTTTGATGTGGTGGGTCAGTGAGGTTTTGGCAGCGAGCGCGGATATGGTGTCTGCGGGTTTGGGTCGGGTGGACGTAGCGTGGGTATGGTGTCTGTGCGTTTGTTTTTGTCTTCTTTGCTTGGTGTAGTTGTGCAGTGGGTACGTCGCATGTGGGTTGCTGCCTGCAGGTTTTCCCGCGTTTTTTTGGGGGGGTAGCAGCGTGTGGTTGCGTGGAGCAGCGTGTGTTTGTGGGCGTGAGGTCCGTGGGTGGGGCAGCGGCGTGTGTTTGTGTGCAGCAGCGTCCGGGAGTGCGGGTGTGTTGCTCGTTTGGTAGTGTGCATTGGCGGAGGGCCATGTTTTTTTGTGTGTGTGGTGGGTCAGTGAGGTTTTGGCAGCGAGTGCGGATATGGTGTTTGCGGGTTTGGGTCGGATAGACGTGGTGTGGGTATGGTACCTGTTTGTTTTTGTCTTTTATGTTTGGCGTAGCTGTGCAGCGGGTATGTCGCGTGTGGATTGCTGCCTGCAGGTTTTGCCGCGTTTTTTGGTGTACTGTTTGTTTGTTTTTTGTGCAGGAGGACGTTGTGCCGGAGTGTCGGTAGTGTTTCTGGTTTGGCCGTATTGGCCGTGTTTCGGTGTGCAGTGTGGTGGGTTTGTGTCGTGTTGTGTTGCTCCAGTTTTGTTTTAAGTTTTATTTTTGGTTTAATTTTTGTTGGTTTTTTGTTATTGCCATAGGGTTTTCTTTGGGGGGTGTTATGTGTTCATTATCTATGAGGTGTGGGGGCCTGATTTGTGGTAAAGGGGGGATTTTTTATGTGTATGCATCTATAA